GTTTATTCTCCCCTTAAAGTTAAAGATGACAGAGCAAGTAAGAAAGGGGAGGAATATCCTCTCATAATGGAATGCCTTGCTGGAAACAAAGACACCCCAGGGTGTCGGGTTCCACTGCGCTTGTCCCTTTGAATCTAGCGCGGTTGTAAATTCTGTACCCTATTGCGTGGGACGAAAATGGAAGGATACGTTTAGGAGTGCATGTATTCCACAAATTTACGGTCGTAAAATCACTACAAATAACGAAGAAGAATGTAACGAGCGTTTGTTTGGAGTGCCATAGTAAATGAATGTACAGCCCTCTTGGTTTAGACAGGCATCTGTGGAGTAATGGACTGGCTCTTCGTCATGCTCACTCAACACGTGAGTTCAATGCTCGCGCAGAAGTTCGCAACAACAACAACAACAACAACAACAATAATAATAACAGCAGCAACAACAACAACAACAACAACAACAGTAACAACAACAACAACAACAACAATAACAATAACAACAACAACACCACAACAACAATAACAACAACAGGAACAACAACAACAATAATAATAAAAGTAATAATAAAAATGATAATAATAATAACGAAATGATAATAACCATAATAACAACAACAGTTACAATGATGATAATAGGCTAGTAAGCTAATGATGATGATGATGATGATGATGATGATGATGATGATGATGATGATGATGATGATGATGATGATAATAATAATAGTAATAATAAAAATAATAATGATGATGATGATGATGATGATGATGATGATGATGATGATGATGATGATGATGATACCGTTATTACAACAACAATTAAAATAATGATAATATGCTTTCTTTTCTTCTTCTTTTTTTTTTCTTTTTTTTTTTTTTGGGGGGGGGGGTCCTTAATGGGCCTGGTGGACTCCACGAAGAAATCTTCGAACGAGAGCGAGGCTCTTTTTCGGCGCCATTGTCGTTATACTGAGAGGCACCTCCACTCGTCTGAATAACTCAACTCGAGTTGCCATAGTTTTCGGACATTCAAACATAATATGTTTGACATCCTCCTTTTCATAGTTGTATTGCATCTTCGGCAACGAGGGTTGAGTTCTTCTTTCACAAAGTTCTCATACCATCTCATGCTCCAATGATTGTCCGACCACAGTCTCGCTATCTCAACCTTGTCCCAGCGACATGTGATTAATTATTCCTGCTTATTGGAGTACCCAGAGTACACTTACATCCCCAAGTGGTAGGTCTCTGATTCCCCTCTTGATCATTGGAAAGACTCCCCTGTACGTAATTGGTCGTCTGTCTCCTTCAATCTCTTTGGCTTCTTTGGCAGTTTGGTCTGCTGCCTCATTTCCTTCGATTCCAACATGGTTTGGAATTCACTGGATCTTTATTGTGGCTGGGGTTTTACTGAGCTTGCGGCGCAAATCATTTATATCTGAGCTGTTTCCCAGCAGTCCCTTGCAAATGGGACTGACTGTCAGTCAAGATCAGCACATTGGTTCTGATTCTGATGTGGTAATTGTCAACAATCCATTGTTCAGCATCCATCATTGTCTGGCATTCTTCGTCATAAGATGATGTGAGGTATGCACCTTTAGTTGGGCAAGCTCTGCAAGTTCTGATGATGATGATGATGATGATGATGATGATGATGATGATGATGATGATGATGATGATGATGATGATGATGATGATGATGATGATGATGATGATGATGTGATGATGATGATGATGATGATGATGATGAAGAAGAAGAAGAAGAAGAAGAAGAAGAAGAAGAAGAAGAAGAAGAAGAAGAAGAAGAAGAAGAAGAAGAAGAAGAAGAAGAAGAAGAAGAAGAAGAAGAAGAAGAAGAAGAAGAAGAAGAAGAAGAAGAAGAAGAAGAAGAAGAAGAAGAAGAAGAAGAAAAAGAAGAAGAAGAAACCACCAATACAATCGCAAATTGTACCAGTTTAAAAATCTGTGAGGAAAGT